AAGCATCAATTATCTTTTTAATATTTCTCTTGGCTTAACACATGACTGTTCCTCCCTCCCTTCACACCCTGGCTTCTGCTCACCTTGCCATCCTCATCTCCAACCAAAGCCTGCATACATACTATTTTGGTCCTTCCATACATACACTGTGTTTTAGCAAACCAATCTAGAGTGCCTGTAGTGCACACATGTGCCTGTGGAAGTTTGCTGAATGTGCCTTTTAAGTCATGTGCAGACACAGCTGCCTCAATCTGCATGGCAAATTAACTGATCCATCAAAATTCTGTTAAAGTGACAACTCCTCTGAAACTTCTTGGAACACTTCATCTCTCAACATTTATCATTTCCTCCTCTGTACTAGGTCTGCATCTTATCCCTACTTCCACTGTTACATGTTATCAATTTATTTGTGTATGTGGCTACTAAGCATAATAGCATTCAATAAATGTTTGCTGAGGAATATATATAAAGTATATATTTGTAATATATAATAGATATTCATACATATAATAAAAATATATAACTAAGTATATATAACATAGAAGTAAATATTTATTATACAGTAAAGTTATTTATCTCAATAAACCAAAGACTCATACCTGAACCCAGAGAAGAAATAAGAAGAGGAAGATCCTATCAAGAATGAAAAGACAACTACAAAGGATAAGAACAAGCTTTAAACAGTTGTTGTTATTTCAACAAACATACTGACCAAATCTTCTGCCGGATGGCAGGATTATAGAAAAATAAGAAAAACCCAGGGCCTAGACCAAGGGTTGGCAAACTATAGTCAATAGTTTGGAATTGAGCTTGGAATGCAGTCACATTCATTCATTTACATATCGTCTAACGCTGTTTTCACACTACCACACCAAAACTGAGCAGTTGTGACATAAGACTGTCTAACCTACAAACTGTACAATATTTATTATTTGGCCCTATGCAGAAAAAGTCTTGCAAACCTCTGGCCTAGAAGGAATTAAAAGTCCACATAGATCTGAGAGCCAATGGTTTGAATATTCCCAGAGGAGCAAAGTGAGGATGTCAGGGAAAGCTTAATAGAAGAGATGGTTTGCTAGGTCTTAAGTAAAGACCAGGAAGCAACCTGGCAAGAACTAAGAAAAAATGTTCCAGGTAGAGTTAATCACATGAAAAATGAGCAGAGGACAACAGGATACAGGGCATGTCTCAGTAACTGCAAGAGTTGGTATTGCTAGAGACTAGTGTACAAAATGGCAAAACACAAGGTTGGAGAGAAGAGCACAATAAACTGTATATACCAATGAGGAGTTTGTATTTTAAAAATAGATCACTTTGTGTTTACACTTGCTAAAAAAAATAAAAAACAGACATACAGAAAAAACAAACTACCTCTGGAAGGACACACCGGAAACTAATAAAAAGAATTTACAAGAAAACACAAATAAATGGAAAGATATTCCATTCTCATGGATTGGAAGAATCAATGTTAAAATGTCTATACTACCCAAAGCAATCTACAGATTCAATGCAATCCCAATTAAAACTCCAATGGCATTTTTCACAGAAATACAACAATCCTCAAATTTGTATGAAACTACAAAAGACCTCAAAAAGCTAAAGCAATCTTGAGAAAGAAGGAACAAAGCTGGAGGCATCATGCTTCCTGATTTCAAAATATTTTACAAAGCTACAATCATCAAAACAGTATGGAAGTGGAGGTCAATGAGACAGAACAGAGTCCAGAAATAAAATCACACATATATGATCAATTAATTTACAATGAAAGAGCCAAGAGTATACAATAGGGAAAAGACAGCCTTTTCAATAAATGGTCTTCAAAAAACCGGACAGCCGCATGCAAAAGAATGAAACTGGACCCCTATATCATACACAAAAATAAACTGGATTAAAGACTTGAATGTAACCTGAAGCCATAAAACTCCCAAAAGAAAACATAAGTGGTAAACTCCTTGACATTGGTCTTAGCAATGATTTTTTGAATCTGACACCAAAAGCAAAGGCAACAAAAACAAAAATAAATGAGTTGGAACTACATCAAACTAAACAGCTTCTGCAAAGCAAAGGAAATCATCAACAAAATGAAAAGTCAACCTAGGGAATGAGAGAAAATATTTGCAAATCATAGGGTATCAAAATATATAAAGAACTTATACAATAGCAACCCACCCTCCCCCCAAAAAAAAACCCACAAAAAATCTGATTAAAAAATGGGAGTGGTGCCTGGGTGGCTCAGTCGGTTAAGTGTCCAACTCTGGATTTCAGCTCAGGTCATGATCTCACAGTTCGTGAGTTTGAACCCCACATCAGGCTCTGCGTTGACAGCACAGAGTCTGCTTTGGATTCTCTCTCTGCCCCTCCCCTGCTCTGCTCTCTCTCAAAATAAATAAATAAACATGCTTAAAAAATCGGCAGAGCATCTGAGCATTTTTCCAAAGAAGACCTAGAGACAGCCAACAACTATATGAAAACTTGCTCAATATCACTCATCATCAGAGAAATGCAGATCAAAACCACAATGAGATTATCACTGCATACCTACCAGAATGGTTATTATCAAAAAGACAAGAAGTAACAAGTGTTGGAAAAGATGTGGAGAAAAGGGAATTCTCATGTACTGTTGGTGCAAATGTAAACTGGTGCAGCCACTATGGAAAACAGTATGAAGGTTTCTCAAAAAGTAAAAATAGAACTACCTTATGACCCAGTGATTCCACTTGTGGATAGTTATCCCAAGAAAATAAAAACACTAACTTGAAAAGATATATGTATCCTTATGTTCACTGCAGCATTATTTACAATAGTCAAAAAAAAAAAAACGAAAAACCTAAGTGTCCATCAATAGATGAATGGATAAAGGAAATGTGTCATTATATAAAAAGTGGAATATTTTATTTAGCCATAAAAAGGAATGAAACTTGCCCTTGGTGACAATATGGATGGTCCTTAAAGGCATCTTGCTAAGTGACATAAGTCAGAAAAGACAAATAACCTATTAATCTTACATGTGGAATCAAAAAAAATTCAATCTATGATTCTGTAGATGCACAGTAGAGGTGTGCTAGAAAGAGCAGAGAGCAGTTAGGAAGCTATTATCATTCTACTGACCATTTAAAGCAAATACATTAACAATCTATTGTGGAATTTACAACATATGAAGTAAAATATAGGACAAAAATAGCTTGAAGGGTAAAAGAGAAATAGAAGGAATTACTACCGTAAAGTTTTAGTGTTAGAGGTAGACTATTACCATTTAAGGATGAATACTACAATCTCTACATTAACCATTAAAAAAAAAAATAATCGTACAAACAGGTTTAGATAAAAAGCCAAGAGAAAATTAAATGGAATTTTAAGAAAATTTGACTAATTCTAAAACAGGTAGGAACAAAGGGATAAAGAACAAAGAACAGATGGGACAAACTGAAAAGACAGGAAAATGGTAACATAAACCCAACCATATCAGTAATTACATTAAATATAAATGTCCTAAGCCCTTCATTTAAAGGACAGATTGTCATGCTAGATACAAAACAAGACCCAACTATATGTTGTTTATAAGAGACACACTTTAAAAATAACAACACTGTCATGTCAGGATGGTTGAGTGGTCTAAGGCATCAGACTAAAAACAACAACACTGATAAAGTGAAAGAAAAAAGACAGAAAAAGATGAATACTACTAATAAAAAAAGCTATCACACTATATTAATATTGGAAGATTTCAAGACAAACAAAAATCATTCCCAGAGTCTAGAGATAAAAAGGGCATTTCATAATGCTAAAAGGACAAATCCATAGCAGACAAAATGTTTGTGCCTCAATTAGCATGATTAAAAATACATAAAGATGGGGCGCCTGGGTGGCGCAGTCGGTTAAGCGTCCGACTTCAGCCAGGTCACGATCTCGCGGTCCGTGAGTTCGAGCCCCGCGTCGGGCTCTGGGCTGATGGCTCGGAGC